CTTTTTAAGGTGTTGGGAATTGAAAAGGCTAATATACAATGGAACATGCTGGAAATGGGAAGGAAACTTTCAGAAATAGATTTAACGTAAGGAATTGTGAAATATTTATCTTTAACATGAATATTCTATATATTATGTTTATTATGTATATGATATTTTATTCTTTGTTCTATAATAGAAAATATGAAGGAAAGAGGATAGAAATTGTTTAAAAAAATTTGTATAGCTTCTATTAAATTATTTTGTTGGAACCGAGGATGTGATATAAGCAAAATTTTGTCAATAAAACTGATAATGATGCCTTTTTTATGATTAATAGGATGGTTTCAGTGAAAATTAAGGAATCTACCTGAGAATGTTTTTTTTTTGAAAATTGTCAAAAATAATTCTACAATTGTCAGTAATAAAAGTAGTGTTATGAAAGTTTAATCTGTTATCACTGCCAATCTCCATAGTAAATTGTAATCTTCCATGTAAAAAATTGAAGGTATTAAGTGTGTCATAAACATTGTCAGACGGAATAGCAAGAACAACGTCATCAACATATCTATAATAGAACAATGGCTGTACCGACAAACAATGAATTGCTTTTTCTTCCAAGTCCTGCATTACAATATCTGCTAGAATTGGTGAAAGTGGTGAACCCATTGGAGTACCAAAAACTTGTTTGTAAAATTTACTATTAAAAGTGAAAAAGGTTGAATTTAAGACAAGGCTAACAGCAATATTAAATTCATTTTTAGGAATCTTAGTATTTGAAGAAATGTGAAACCATCTTTTATCTATGCCATCATAACTAAATCAAAAGGAATATTTATAAAAAGAGACACAACATCTAATGAAGCTAGCACATATTGAGAATCGAAGTGAGTACCACTTAATTTGTTAACTAAGTGGAAACTGTCTTCGATATGGCTAGGAGCTGGTGGTAAGCTATCATTAATTATGTTATGTAGGAAAAGGAAAAGGTAATATAATGGACTGTTAATAGAGGAAACAATTACTCTCAATGGGTTACCGTCTTTGTGTATTTTTGTTAAGCCATAAGCTCTCGGAATAATACCGTCAGTTGTAAGCAGTTTTCTGTATATTTGTTCATCGATACAACCAATACTCTTCCACCTTATAAGTAATGTACGTAATTTTGAGTCAATTTATTAGTTGGATCTTTATTAATAATTTCAATTAAATTAAGTAAATAATAAGTTTTAAAGTATAATGCTAATAGATGAATGAATGAAGGCTAGTTAAGTAAACTAGGATAAAGAGGAAATATGCACGAAAGTAAAGTATGGATGGATGTGTGAGGATAGGTAGATAAACTGTAAACCAAGTCCCCTTCTTAGGCTTTGTATGCTTGAAGGTAATAAAGTTCTTCTTATTAATAATTTCATAAGTATTAGTGTCTGATAGAATCACTTTCATCTTTGATATATAAATGTCTTTATTCAGTATAACAGTGACATTTCCTTTGTCGGCATTAGTAATGAGAATGTTAGGATGGTCGTTTATAAATTTTTTGGTTAAGTATAACCATTCTAAAATATTCTTTTCAATAAAACTTGGTGAAGGAAAATTGTTATGAAGCCTATTGAGGATGGGAATAGAATTATTTCTGACGTAATTGACAATATTATCAGGGTGGCCCTTAATATTGCCCTCAATATGTTTATCACTGACACTGTATTATTACTTTACTATTTGATTTAGAAATGTGGAGTATTTCATAAACTAATTCGATGATTGCTTTGTTTGATGGACACTTGCCAATGTGCGCCGATATGATTGAGTATCCAATTACAAGTGAGATTAAACACCCACATCAAAAAATTTATATATATATTTTTCGTTTTTTGTCAATATTTTTATACATTTTTTCGCTTTTTTAATTTTATAATTACTTATAATTTTATAAGTACATAGTTTGTACATCGTTAACGATTTTGCGACTTGTTTAACATTGAAAATGACCTAATAAAAGTCGAAACGTCTGTTTTCAAATTTTATTAAACTTTATATATATATTTTTAACTAATGACATTTTATATTTACTAACACCTTTATATTTTAACGAATGTTGGCTCGTAGCCCTGTTGTTTAATTATTTTTTAAATGTATTGAGCCTTGTTACAAACATATATTATTACTTGATTTATTCTATATAAATTAACGTCTTATTCAGAAAACAATTACACAAATCTATATAATATACATGTACAATCCACAAATAAAAATGTAATGTTCAAAAATATTCTAATCATATATCTCTAATTTCCCAGCTAGCAAGGTCACGTGATAATGACGTGAATTTTTTGTACAAATAACGTCAATTATGACATAAAAGTAACGTTATTCTGACGTATATATCACGTGATTATGTCACACCTTATTGACGTTATTTTTTACGTCAGGGAGACGTAAATATGACTAAAAAGTACTATTAGTGTCACTACTAGTGCAATAATGCAGTAGTAAATTCGTATATACTTCGTGTAGAAATTTAAGTAGAATACCGGTCAGTTTTCCCTAAATTACTGTTAGATTGTTAAAATAAGTATTAATAATTAGCATCAATATATTTTAGAATAAAATCATGAAAAAAAAATTTTCCTCTAAATTCGAGAATTAATTTTTTTTCATGATGCTTCCCAAACGGCCGGTCACCCATCCGAAGTTGTACCACGACCTCGCATGCTTGACCTTGACAATCGTACGGGAACTGCTGTACTTCGATGACCCACGAATCTGTATATGTCAACGTCTGTATAATTGTGATATATCTGTTCAATGGAAATATTAAAAACAGATGGTTTAATGTGTTTATATGATAGTGTATGTATTAGTGTATGCATTAGTGTATGTATCATTCCGCAAGTGTAATGAGCATGACATATCGTTTTAACCTTGTTTTTCATCAAATATTAAAGGATAAAATGATACATCAAATAATAATACACAAATAATAATAAAAAATAATTGATTAGTAATGGTCATATATA